TTTACCTTTTCTGATTCTGCAGTGCAGTATCAGCCCTGACTGGGAGCCGTAGTGTGCATTATCACATGCTTGTCAGATGTGTCAGTCAGTCTGATGATGATGGTTTCTCTAAAAACAAAATTTCTGATTCTGCATCTACTTTCAGAAAAGAAAACTGTGCTCTGTTAACACTGTATAAGTGGCACGTACTGATTTTGTATTTGATGTTTGTAAAAGTTTGTTCAAAGAATGAAATGGGATTTCCCTTGAGGCCACACACATCAACACTGAGGTACTTTTTCTCAGACTGAAGCACTGTCTGTCCATTAAACTCACTTGTGAATGAGAGCTTCTGTACAGGATATCCAGATATAAATTACCAACCTAACAGGTGGCATTCTTCCTAAAATGGAGGGGGGGGAAAAGTTTGCAATAAATAGATATGCATATTCAGATATGGAAAGGAGGGCCACAGTCTTTTTGGCAGCTCAAAGAAGTTCATGTTTGTTAGGAAACTTCGTCTGTTTGGTTTTGTATGTGATGTCATGCTGCCTGTGCAGCCATGTGCTCAGTCACTTTTGCAAACCTATGAATTATTTAGTTTTATTCAGACATTTAAAAATAAAACTAGAATATCATGTTCTGATGAATCTTTGTATCTTGTTCGTAGCCTTACTTTTCTGGTATTTGTCCTCTGAAACTCCACTGGTAGGACTTGGGGATGCTTGGGTAGAAGCCAGAAAGGAGCAGTGGAAATTGTTTAAAGTGTGCACATGTTTTAATTGAAGAGGTGGGATCTTAAATTAAAAATCATATATTGTGATGCACAGATGCCACATGTGTCATCAGCTAACATCATTTCTCTCCCATCTGTAGGAGTTTCTCTGTTACTCTTTTAGCATCTTTTTGCCCATTGCTTGTGAGTGATCAACAAGTCTGATGTATATCCAATACAATGTCATTGAAAAGGAAATGCAGTCTCTATTTGTGTTTTTATATGTCTGTGTACACACACAAAGATATATATCGAAACTCCTCCTGTTTGTCTCTTTAGAACCAAAAAAATGTCTGTGAGAGAATTTCTTTTTATGATACTACTTGTGTGCAACCACAAGTGGACAGCTTTCTCAGGAATTGGTGCTAGGTGCTTAAATAAGGTAGAAATGTAGCATGAACCTGAGCTCCAAGGACAGGGTGTTTGATTTTAATGAGGCTTATTGAAATCCAGCCAAATGAGCATCTGTTCCTATTGTTTGTTCCATATTTTGTAAGCCAGTATCTTCAGGCCAGATAATGGTGTTGGTGTGTGCTTCATCCTCAATTAGAGAGGGACACAGTTAAAAGTCCCTTGGCATCTGGTGTGTCACTAGGATTCTTGTGATGCTCCTGGGTGTGCAAACAAGTTTCAATTCTGTTCTGTACCCAGGGCCACTTACTTTCCCTGGTGACCTTCACACTTTATATTTGATATGTGGTGAGGGATGCTCTGATGTGTTTCCAGTCTCCTTGGCTGAGTCTTTGCATGGATGGGTTATATGTAGTTCTGTTTTCAAACAGGACTGGTCTTTCATAAAGCCCAGTCTTTCATAATGTGGGCTGTGTAAGGTTTGAGTTTTGCTCTTTGCTTGGAGTCTGTTAGATTTTGCATTTCCCTGGATCGTGGAAATATCTTTTTGATTCAAAGGGCTCTTTTATTTCTCAGCAAGAGACTGGTTTACAACTCATATCAGAGCTCTACAGTCAATACCCATTTCCTGCATTTGTTAGGTAGGTCTTTTCTGTTTGTTAACTCCTACAGTCAGTTCCAGTTCATCTATATCTGCTATAAAAAGGAGTGTTCTCAGTTTTTATTTTGGACATTGGGTTCTTTCCTGCTTGTGCCAGAGATAGGCACCCTGTGGAATACCTGCCACAGACAGCACTGAGACACCTTCGAAATGGCATACAGCATCCCCAGGTTTCTACTTAGTTCTGAACTCAGCAGCAGCTGGGAGAGGTTTTCTGCCTCTATTTTTATCTAAGGGAAATTGGAGGAAGAAAAATGTAATCATGCACACCACCCTTGAAAAATTAGACTTCTGTTTCAGGCCACTCCTTGCTACTCATGTGTGATAACTAGTACTGCTTTTTAAGGTCCTGGCAAACCAAGGGACTTCTCAGGCTCTTTTAAGCATCTTGAGTCTTCTAGGGAATCTTTGATTGCTGTTCATTGTAATGATAAATGTGCAGTGGTTAATGTATTGAACTGGTAATCTAGAAAGGGTTTATGTATACCCTTTATCTTCAGCACTGTGATTTTATTCTCTGTGGCCATGATGGCTTCTCTTACTTCTCTTCAAAAAGGGAACTGAATAATACTCTTCTTGGAGAAATGTTGTGAACTGTATGATACTTTTTTGACACTTGGATGAAAAGTCCTGCTTAAGTACGTAGAGATGTTCTGCCTGCTCGGCAAGCTGCGTGTACAGGGGGAGAGAGCTCTGTTCTGCTCAATTCTGGAAACACAGAACAGGCCTTGGCACTTACAGTATGCCATGTGAAATTTCCTTTCAAAGTTGCATCTTATTATTTAGCTATTGCTACACGTTTTACACTCAAGGATGATTCAGCTAAAGCAAGGAGTGGTGGAAGTAGCTGGTAATTGAAATCTTCCTTCCTTTGTCAGTTCTTTCTGCATTGCTACTTCCAAATTTTTAGAACAAACGTAGTCAGCACAATAATAACACTGAGCCAAGAATTTTTATATAAATTCAAAGGAGAAACCACAAGTACTCTTTAATAAAGAAGCATTTAGGGTTCCAGGCTGGATGTTCCAGTTGGCAGTAGGACAAATTGATCTGAAGAGTGTCCCTCTTGTACTCTCAAGTCCCTTTATGTCACAGATTGATGGCTCTTTTTTCCAGAGAGTGTCCCTGCATTTACTTTGCATGAATAGCACAACCAACTTATAGTTCTACTGTGATATACCACTGAGTCAGTATATCTTCAGAGAATGCACAGTTTTATAGTGCTTTTGAAGCCTTTCCAGTACTTGAGACTGAAATTAGAGCAATTCGATCATGAACAAATATTATTTGACTAGCAACATTCAGTTTCCTGATACTTGTTCCACTGTTTTAATGAGAAATTATGTTCCTTCATAGCTTAATTTTTAATATTAAGCTTCTGTGTTGTGACACAGAGGGGTTGTCAGTTGACATAGTTCCAGTTCCAAACCCCTCAGTAAGTGTCCCCTTTTGTGTCTTGGATATACCTTTCTCTGGGAGGGACAGCAGTTTTTGAGGCTGTTGCAAACTGGATAAATGCTGCCTTAGCTACTGGCTAATAGAGGTGTAAGCATATCATTTTACCCTTCTGTTGTAGGTATTCTTTCTGTAATGAGAAGGTTGTGTGGATGGCATGCATTGCAGGGACATTGTTGGGATTACTTGATGTGCAAAAGGTACTTTGAAACTGAATTCTCAGTGTTTAATGGAAGGTTTATCCAAAACCTTGTATGTCTACTTTTATCTTAATTGTTTCCTTTTTTTTTTTTTTTTTTTTTTTAGGTCAAGACAATCTTTATGCTTTATCTTCCCCTTGGTCTAATAACCTCTTTGCAAATGACCAAGAAAGAAATGTGATATTCCTGTTCCCCCCACTCTACCCCACCACAGACATTCTCCAGATTTTGATAGACTTGTTTTATTTATTTCCAAAATTATATCCGCAGGAAACAAGCTGTTTAAATTCAGATTATGCTGAAGCAAAATGGTCCTGGTATGAGAAGCAACGTGCTGTTTTATGAGCGCAGAGTCCCTTTTCTCATAACTGATTGATAGTAAATATTTTCCTGAAGAATTATTGCCAACCATGAACAGTGCAACTGTTTCACTTTTTTTTTCCGTGCTACTTGCTATACCAGCCATTGTCTGTAATTAAGATCTACAATTCACAATGCAGACGTTTGCACTTCCTCTGGGTCTGAGCTATTTATAAGGCATTTCAGCTGTTCAGAGTTTCTTTTGAGTGTTAAACTACGTGTAAACAGGCTTCTTTAGTCTTCAGTTATGCAAACATTGTGGAGTGCTTGTCATTTCTGCTTCTCTTACCACCCAAAATGACTTTGCATGTCAATGAAACCACAAATTAAAAAAGAATTACACTTGAGGGTTTTTTAAATGCAACAGAGGCTTTGAAGAAATATTACTATAAAAGCTAACTCATACATTGCTTTATAGCTGAGGGTCTCTAAGTGTATTCTGGAGATCAGTTCTCAAAGCTCTGCAGTAAGGATGGTCAGGCAGGTGGTATGCAAAATCTTGATATAAAGAATAATTTTCAAAGTTTGGTCAAGTCGATGGAGATGTTTTTACTTTTTGGAGCCCTTAGTTTGGAATCTCAGTCAAGCAAATTGCATTACCTGTGAAATTGAGTTCAGTACATACTGGAAGGTCTCCCACACAGATGTTAGAATCTCCATCTCAGGTTTGACTGGTTATAAGGAAGAACTTTTTCATGCTGGTGACAGTCAACTGGAGCAGGTTGCTTGTGGACGCTCTGTAGCCTCCATCCTTTGAGGTTTTCAAGACCAGGCTGAATGACGCCCTGAGCTACCTGATCTGACCTCATAATGCACTCTGCTTTGAGCAGGAGGAGGCAGGGCTGGAGAACTCTTGAGCTCCCTTCTAAATTGAATCATCATGGAATCCTCTCAGTATCTAGAACTTGACTTGGCATCCTTAATCAAAACTCCCCCACAACTGTTATGTGTGGTGTCACATGCTGTAGTTCCAGCCCATGTGTTTGCTGTTTAAAGAATTACAGCCTTGAGGTTTCCATTCAAGATCTGTCACATTAAGGTTATATGGAGAGTTCACCATGATAAGTGTTACGAACCAAACTCGACTTCCATATCCGAAGTACTTTGGGATCCTTTATGCTAGAAATGTGAAACTGTTTGGAATCCAAGCCATCAGTGTCTTTAGTGATAAATGGGGGCAAACGTGAAAAGAAGCATTGCTTCTTAAATAGTCACCTGCAGTGACAGCATCCTCAGATGGTACAGAATACACGACATTAACTAGATCTGTCTTCAGTGTTTTTCAAATACAAGAACAGAAAAAGTTGTTTGAAAAGTACGTCAAATTCTTATGCTAAAGCTTGTGGTATGAAACGCTGGAATAATAATTTCCTACTGTACCCCACTGCAGGGAAGCCATTGGAGTGGCCGAGTGTCGCATTTCTGAAGGCAGAGCGAGTTCTGAGCTCAGCCTAGCAAATGAGCGCCTAAAAATGAGGCTGCTTTTGTAGACTGATGGGGGCTAACGTGGGGTGGGCTCCAGCGTCTTTGCTGTTGGGAGTGGACAGGGGAGGGGAAGTAGTGTGGAGCGAGTTCATGGTGAGGCGTGCGCTGCAGCACTGCCCACTGATGCATGCCGGATCACCCGCACGCAGAGATCACATGGCTCCTCCAAAAGTCAAACGATCAATTCGCCTCGTTTTGGCTCTGTACTTAATGCACAAACAGTGCGATCTGCAGGGCTGTAATTGCATTGTTAGGGCCAAGGAACAAGCCTGTGCCTTTTCAGCAGACAGCTGGCAGGGAAAGAGGCATGTTGTTAGGAAAGAGAGAGGCAAGGCAAATAAAATTACTGCTAACGCTCAGAGATCGGCAGGAGTCCTACTTGCCTAATCTTACCGGTGGGAGCAAGCGGCTGTTGTAATCCAATTATAGCAGCATAAGCAATTTGTTAGACACTCCGCATAATGTAACAATTTCCCAATAAACTCTGACTTGTAATAACGTCGGCAAGAGCCCACATAAATCTGCCCGAATGGTGGGGGCTGGAGTGTTCGGCTGGGGGCTTGTAATTTGTGCCATCAGCACGTTTTGTGGAGTGTGGTGTGGTGCAGTCTTTCAGTGCAGGAATTTTAAGAGGAAAAGCGTGGCGTGCCCCTCCAAGAGAAAACCATTAGCAAGGGTCAAAAGAGATACCAAACAAAGCTATGAGGTGGCTTTTCTAGGAGGGAGTAAAAATCGACCCCCAAACGCAAGGCGCTAGCTGATGAAGATTTAAAAATATTAAAAAGCAGTAATGAAAATTGTATCATTTTAAATTACAGCAGGAGGAGGAGGGGGAATTAGAATTACATCTGGTTTGGAGGGGGAGGGAGGAGAATATCTATCCTTCCTTATGTTTAAGCCGTTTAAATATTAAAAAAGAAGCTCAAGTATTGAAAGGGATGCTCTTACTAGACAGAGAAGCCACATGTCCTGTCCCAAGCAATTCATAATCTACAAAGGGAAAAATTAGACCTTTTCTGGTATCCAGTTACTCTCTCGTCTTTCTTGCAGCTCCTAGCTGGCTTCATGTGTATTTGCACAGCATCCTGATGATGTGTGTGAGAGATAAAACGTAGGTCTAGAACCATTCACTTTGAGCGTACCCCAGTGAATTTAACTTTTTTGGCACAATGATGAATGTCCCCTCTGGTTCATGCAGATCTACACAAAGAACTAATCTAATTTAGATATTATTTAAAAGTAAAATCAGTCTGCTGCACTCTGGCTGTCACTCTTAGAGCACATTGCGAGTTACAGCATTGTAGACACCAGTTTAAGGTTTATGTTTAGCAAGATTTAAGGTATCATATTTCTGTTAATCCCTCTATTTAGCATTTCCCTTTGCTAAGATGCAGATAGGCAGCAGGCAGAATAAAGTAGGTCCCTTTATATACAGCATAGGGACAGTCAGAGGTCCAGGATTTTCAATGTAGTTCTTAACACTGCTGCGGTGTAAAAATGCCTGACTTCATACCAGAAACAATACTTTATTCATTTCTTAGCTCTGGTGTCTTGTGAGACTTCAGTGTGGATTGACATTTCTGCTCTCGTTTCTCAAGTTGTGGCAGCATAATGCCTCTATGTGGGGGGAAAAATAGTTCCCACCCACACAAAACAGTTACCCTTGTCATTTGGAGCTCCTGCTCTCAGTCTCTGTATTTTGATGCTGTGCTATGCCGGTTCTTCGGCTTAGCAAATAAAACCAAATAAAAAACAAAACCCCAAACCTAAACTGTCAACCTTGTACATACAGCTCATACAATTACGCCTGCACCATGTTTGTCTTTATGGTGGTACCATATTTTGTGCGATTTTGGAGTGTGTTTACATATTCACCTGTCATACTAGTCCTGAGATGATTTTTATTTAAACTGTAAAATAGTAGCTGAGACATGCAGGCAAGCTGCCGTGAGGATAATGCTGCATATTTTGCCCTTCATTCTGTGGAAGTCAAGCTTCCATTGTTCTTAATCTTTGTTGTCTGCCAGCGTCTCAAGATAACAGGCTGAGACAGTTGAGCGTTTCCAAAAGTATCTTAATACATATTTTCTTGCAACATAAATACACCTAAAGAAGTGTATTTAAAGAGGACTGGTATTATCTTAGTTTACCGAAGCTGAATCAATAAACTGCAGTGCTTCTAATAAAGCCACTCAGTGTCTGGGTTTAACTAATGGCTGATTTTCACAGCTTTGACAGTGAGCTGTGTGCGTTATTTTCTCCTGATATTGTAAAAATAATGAGAGCAAATTAGAACAATCAGTTTACCCCGATAGCTGCTGATTGGAGGTGATGGGCAATATGGCAGCGGGTAATCCATCTTCGGGCTCCTGTCACATTAACTTCAGCAGTGTGGAAAAGATCAGGCGGAGCGAGCGGGAATCCTGCCCAATCAGAAAGCTGAAATTAATGAGAAGAGCATTGTTCTGTGATCAACCTTTTAATTAGCAAGAGTGGAGATGGAGGGAGTGATGAAGCTGGCAGCACAGCTGCACAATACTGGGCATGTTTTCGATGAGGGGGAGGAAAAACATGGGTTTTAAATTACCCCTTCTGTGCTCCCTGTACACCGGCAGTGTGTCTTCATTCTAAACCCCTTAAAAGATCTTAATAAACAGCCACATCCAGGTTAATATTGCAAACGTGGCTGTTACTAATGAGTAGTTTCAAAGTAGGTCGTTTCGAGGGTCATTTAGGAAAATGTTGATCACTGTTTACAAAAATAAGAGAGAGAGACAGGGTTTGGTGTTAAAGTTTCACTGCATCAAGGAAAGAAGAGGAGGGAGATGGATAAAATTAGAGTAAGGGACTGCCTTTTTTAATACTCCTCTCCTTATTTAGTATATGTTTGAAATAAGATTCCTCGGCATATATTTGTAACAAGACTCCTCAGTTAAAAATACTATGTGTGCCATTTGGCTTTCAGCAGCAAAAAAAGAGGAGAGATCAAATACTGCATTGATTTCCTAATGCTCCTTTTTGTGTTATTTTTCTGTGGATGGGGTTTTTTTTGCCCCAGTATATTTCAGTTTATTCTCTTACCAACAGGAAATTATAATTTAAAAGATTTGGCTGCTGTAATTGCTAAGGTTGACTTGATTTTTTTTTCCTAATGATTTGAGAAAATCACAGTCTTCTCAAGTACATTCTAAAAACAGACACTGGAATTAAGGACTGTCAGATCTGAATACCAGTCTTAGGAAAATCTTTATTTTTGTAAAGGGGAAAAAATAATGTGGGGGAAAAAGTGATATTAGGGAGCAATTTCTGGGAAGTATTATGAAATAATGTTTGCATTGGGAACCCAGCTACTTCCAGTTACCACAGTTCCTGTTCTTACTTCTTTGCTCTCTGCATTGTGTTTTTTCAGGTAATTCTCTTCTCCTTCCCCATAATTTCCAAAGAAGTTGTAATGGTAGAAGAGCGAAGCTCTGTCACCGTGCACAATGTCCTTTCTTTCAGTTTTCTAATTGGTACACAGGCTCCTTCACTTTTAGGTATTCCACTTTCTGATGCTGAAAAGCAAGTGAGATCTTGTCAGTTTGCAAGAGAAGGCAAAAATCAGCGCTCTGCGTCCAGCAAACTGTACAGGCTGTTTGTGTGAGTTGTAAGCTCACACCCACCGTCAACTTTGCGTTGCTTACTTTAGGTAGGTAGCAGTAAACAGATGTGCTAGAAAGGAAAGCTGCTGTGGATGAGGTTGGTTCCTTTGGGGTTTAGTTCTAGGCAGATCTCACCATCTTTGTTTCTTACAGAGGAAAATATTAGACAACCTTTACAGGCAGAACTGCAAGCCCCACTCATAGTTATATTAGAAGTACAAACCGGTTCAGATAGTACAAAAGGTCTGTGATTTAGAAAGCTAACCTCTTTCAGGCTGTAAAAAGCTATGTAGATATCATCTAACTCATCCAAAGCCCCTGATTTTTAAAGAGGAGCGAGGGGGAAAGAGGATACATCATTCCTACAAAATACGAAAGTTCAAAATACTACAGTAAGCAGTTTCAATTTTTTATAACTTTGCTACTGTTTAACCCTTCGAAGTAAAATTTTGTTTTGGCCTCAGTCTGATTGCCCTCCACTCCCTGCAGCCTGAGGCGGGAATAAAAGTTGGTATGTGGGAGGAAAAGTATTCACTTAGCAAACAGCTGTTCAATATTTTATTTTATTCGTATTCCTTGTTCTGTGCCCCAGGCTGTATTTGTTGCATGCCTTTCAAGTCCTGGTCAGAATATGGAAATACAGACTTCCTCCTGGGGGTTTCCCCTGTAGTTTGAATGCTTCACAAACATTAATTAATCCTTCCAGTGTTTCTTGAGGCAAGCATCCCTTTTTTGCAGAGAAGTTCAAAAGTTACTTTAACAACTGAGATCTAAGGAGGAAGTAGTTTATTTATAGTAAGCAACGAGACCTCGCAGGAGGAATATCAGATTAGGAATTATGAATCTAGATTTTGAGATATCTTTTGTCTTTGTCATATTCTGTTTTTTCATCTCAGTTCTTTGATCTGTAAAAGGATAATACTGCTTAACATTTCCTCATTAGACATTTGGGAATCTGGAAACATGGTGTCAGTTGAAGTATGTTGTGTACTTAAGGAGTATTTTTGTTTATATACACCTAATGTTGACTTGGGCTCTGTTGCTGTGGCATCTCTCTCCCCAGGTCCATCTACATTTTCAAAAAGCTGTATTAGACATTCATCTTGGGAAAGATGCACTTACCAATGGCTGCAGTCAAATTGCAGTCAAATACAATCCTTATGGGAGGCAAGAGGAAAAGTGTAAGAAAAAGTGGACACTTACTAAGCCAAACATTCTTCGTGGTGTTTTATAAAACACTGAAAGCTCTCAAAGCCTTTCGTTCTACTTTAATAAAACTCAAGACCCAGTAAATCATTTCACAGCTGCTTAAATCCGTTTGTCAGCTCCCAAAGACATTCCCTTGTGGGTGGAAACGAGGTGGTAAATTCTTGCCCAAAAGTAATCATACTGCAGGAGAATGACTGGAAAGATGCAATGTGTTGCAGAATCCAGTTTAAGTATGGAGCTACTACCGTGACTCTGTAATGGGATGTCCCAACATGGGGTATAATATCATAAATAGTGTAAATATGCCACTTGTGAATTAATAGGCAGCCTTGGGATTGTAAATCTTTACATATATGTTAAAATGAACATAGAGCTAATCTTAATTCTTTTTTTAACCTAATACAGTAATTTCATTCTAGCTCCTGGTTGGGTTTTGCAACTCGGTGTTTTTACCAGTGCTAGAATTTCTGGGTTATGGGTTGACTTTTTTTTTTATCCCATTTTCAATTAATTTAATTTAAAACATTTCACGTGTCTTTCCCATTCCATTGCCTATATTCTGCATTTTCTCTGTGCAAATTTCCTGCCTCTCTGTTTTCACCCCGACGCATGGTTCTCCCTGTTTTGGGGCCTTCATTTTGAGAGCTGCTTTGAGACTGGAGGACAGCACACTGAGGGAAAGGTCATCCTCTGAGGTGTTTTTCTTCACCTTTTTTTATCTCCTTGAAGTTTTTCTCTGCCATCTTTCAGTATCAGGAGAGCTGTGTTTAGAGTGTTTCTACTTAGTACCTTCTTCCTGAGGCTCAGTCAGCCTGGGGAACTGGGACATAACTCTGCAACACCCTGCGAGGCAACTGCGTAGTATCTCAGGAGAAAAGGGGCATCTTACCCACACTCCGATGGGAACCTGCAGAGAACCAGGAGTAAAAGTTGTCCTGTAGCTCTACTGCCATCTGCTTTATGTAGGTACATGCTCACTTTCTGGACTCCCACCAGTTTTAATCACGAGTTCAATAACCATCGCCTCTTCATCAAAATCCCTTTGAAATTCTTCTCATATGAATGTAACTTTCTGAACTTCAGGACTGACATGAAAGGGAACCCCATAGAGCAGTATATCTACTTCTGTATTGCTAGTGATGACCTTAGGCCACCACAAAGGCTTTGATGCACAACCAGGTTCTCAGACAATGTTACGTGTGCTCTGAGGAGGTTACAGCCATGTTGGGTGTGATCTAAAGAGATTCTTACCCAGCTAAGACTCCTCTCTGGAGAGTGATAGCTTTCATCTTTGAGGAAGCTACCCAGAATCCCTGTACAAACTGCTGCAGGACATGCTGCTGCAGGGCATGGTGTATAAACAAGCCAGCCTAGATAAAGAAAATAGTTAAGTAACTAGAACCTATACAGAAAGAAATTTTACCAGAACCCCTCCCTCTCTTTTACCCTACTCTGTAGCTTTCAAAGAGCCCCCAGTAAACACATTTTTAGAAACAAGCTCTCAAGAAATGAAGCACACACCAGGCTGTGTTTAAGTAACAAAAGTTCCCAATGGTCCCGAGCAGAGTGCTGGACTTGGTGGATCCTATACCTGTGCCCTTCCTAGAATACATATGCATTGTCCAGCACACTAAAAGCCTTCCTGAATACTGTTAGTGAAGCCAAAACCAATCCTCTTTGCATTACATCTTAGAAAGTTCTTATCTCTAGGTAAACTATCTATATTTTACTCAATCCAAGTATACATTTCTTTCTTTTCTCTGTGAGGGCTAGCAAACTGTCTACTAGCTGTTGAAAGAACACCAGTGGCATTTTCTTTACAATTTCTCTCACTCATTTTTTATTTTCTAAACAAAACTTTGTTAAACTGTGCTGTAATTTGCAGACTCAATTTAACTTGATTTTTGTGTGTTTGAAAAGTAATAGCAAATCTCATATATCTAAAGGTTTTTTAAGTTTTTTCTAGATGTATAATCAGTATTACTTTTCCCCAGAAATCCTTCTCTGCTTAATGCAGTAGTATTTATTACAGGTGAAACACTTTAAAGTTTGGAACATTCAGAGCTTTCACTTGAATTTAACTGCCCCCTTCTCATATGCACACTATGAGTCAACATGTGATATGTAGTAATTTTGTTTCTTGGATAATGAAACATGGTATCTGATCTGTAAAATGTAAGTACATTAAACTTCTTTTGTTAATAATATTAAAACACAAGGAGGAAGTTTATTTAAAAACAAATAATTTTGTAAGTTCACCTATTAAGGGTTTAATGCTAAACAGTTACTTATAAACTGTTATAGAATGTAATTCGTCTTTAAAGAGATTATAAAACCTTAGCTGTACTAATGAAATTAATACATACATTGAAGTACTAGTTCCTACAATATATCTTGTAGTTCCCATGAAGGTGGGGTAAGAGAAACGTGAATTTATACATTGCATAGATAAGTTATCATTTGGAAAATGGGAGCAGTACTGTTGAGTTGGCAGTCTCATATCCTACAATAATGTTTATTAGAATAAAACAGTTCTCATTGGAGAACTTGATGTCTTGCCCTCAATTTACTTCCAAATACGTAATTACCTTTATTTCTGAGCATTTATCACCCTAGTAACCTCTTTGGATCAAGTGCTGACATGTAGAATCCCTTCTAATATGAAAAACCAGATCAACAGGCTTCAAATCCTGTCCTTGGGTGGAAACACATTTTCCTTCAGAATTTTCTGATACTGAGCTAAAAATCTCTTCATCTTATGTGGGACCTCAAGTGACTCAAATTGTCTGGGAGTGAGACACTTGCCTCCATCTTCTTTCTCTCAAACTAAATTAGTGTTGACTGGCAGGACAGGTTTTGATCCTGATGGTCATAAGAGTTGATTTGGAGTGATACCAGGCTCCAGCTGGCACCCGTCTGACTTTTCCCTCTTTGCAGTCCCAAGAATGGCAGATACCCATTGCAATCTGTACTCAGATGACTGGTCAGTTAAAGACACAAGACACAAGCAACTATGTTGAAATCAGCCATGTAACTTTTCTTCTTATTGTGAAAACAGTAGACAGTTGTCCCTGGAGACAATGGAGTTCATCGTTAAAACAACTTGCTGCCCAGCAGATCACAACCTGATCTTCCCAGTCAGTGGTAAATGACTTGAAAGTAACTCCTCCAGCAAAAAGTGCAGGGACTCTAAGGTCATTTGTGTTACTCACATCTGGATCACATCTTCTTCTAACATCAAAACATCACATGAATGAAGAGCTTAAAGATTTGCCACAGATACTGTGAGGGTTTACCTGGAGACAGTGAAGGTATGAAAAGAGATATTCTCTATTCCCATGTAATACATTTATTATTGGAGACCACGAGGCATATCCTGTGAAACCAGCTACAGACATAATGAATATGGCCTCGGGGCAGTCTGAAGTTACCTGTGAGTCTCCTGGAGGTGAGACCAATAGATAAAACCACACCAGAATAACTAGTGTTTCTGTGTGTCATGTGCAACTTGGCTCTTTAGCACATAGTGGAAAGCTGTAGGTTGTACATTTCATAAATCTCAGGTATGCTCAAGCTCAGTGGGAACATACCAGACTGAAAATTGATGGCTCTTCGAGTCATTCATGAGAGAGGAATGAAGCTCCACATTTGTATATTTAACAGAGTGAAGTCCACAGTCCCATCAGTGTTCTCTACTCACTGAAAGTCAGTTTGCTCAGTTACCATCAACAAGTTTACATCTGTGCCTTCTAAAGTATACTCTGAGCTATAAGGGGTTGAATGTCCTCTTGCAGAACAAGACATTTTCCTGTTTGTTATACAAGAAAGGCTGGAAGGAGGATCCAGGGAACCACAGGCCTGTCAGTCTGACCTTGGTGCCAGGGAAGGTCATGGTGCAGATTGTCTTGAGTGCCATCATGGGTGACACATACAGGACAACCAAGTAATCAGGCCCAGTCAGCATGGGTTTATGAAAGGCAAGTCTTGCTTGACCAACGTGATCTTCTGTGATGAGGGAAAGGCTGTGGGTGTGTCTACGTAGACTTTAGTAAAGCCTTTGACACCACTGCCCACAGCGTGCTCCTGGAGAAACTGGCTATGCCCAAAGAGTGGCTGGTGAATGGAATTGAATTCAGCTGGTGGCCAGTTACTGGTGGTGTTCTGCAGGGCTCAGTATTGGGACCAGTTCTGTTTAGTATTTTTATCGATGATCTGGATGAGGGACTGGAGTGCACCCTCAGTAAGTTCACAGACAACACTAACTTGGTGGGAGTGTTGATTTGCTGCAGGGTTGGAAGGCTCTGCAGAGGGGTGGGGACAGGTGGGATTGATGGGCCGAGGCCAGTGGTATGAGGTTCAATAAAGTGAAGTGCCAGGTCCTGCACTTGGGTCACAGCAACCCCCTGCAGCACCACGGGCTGGGGGAAAAGTGGCTGGAAAGTGGCCCAGCAAAAAAAGGACCTGGGGGTGCTGGTTGACACTGGCTGAACATGACCCAGTGTGTGCCCAGGTGGGCAAGGAGGCCGATGGCGTCCTGACTTGTATTAGAAATAGTTAAGCCAACAGGACCAGGGCAGTGATTGTCCCCCGTGTACCTGGCACTGGTGAGGCTGCACTTCACATCCCATGTTCATTTTTAGGCCCCTCCCTACAAAAAGGACAGTGAAGTGCTGGAGCGAGTCCAGAGAAGGGCAGCAAAGCTGATGAAGGATCTGGAGCACAAATCATATGAGGAGCATCTGAGGGAGCTGGGGGTGTTTAGCCTGGAGGAGGTTCAAGAGGAGACTTTATTGCTCTCTACAACTACCTGAAAGGAGGTTGTAGCGAGGTGGGTGTCAGGCTCTTCTCCCAAGTAACAAGCGATAGGACAAGAGGAAGTAGCATCAAGTTGTACCAGGGAAGGTTTACACTGGTTATTAGGAGAATTTCTTGCGCCAAAAGGGTTATGGAGCATTGGGACAGGCTGTCCAGGAAAGTTGAGTAACAGACCTGGGAGGTATTTAAAAGGTGTGTACGTGTCGCATTTAGGGACATGGTTTAGTGGTGGACTTGGCAATGTTAGGTTAACAGTTGGACTGGATGATCTTGGAGGGCTTTTCTAATCTTAATGATTCTACCTTCTGGGACTTCACAGGTTCCTCAGAGGTTCCAGTCTCTTGTCTTGCAGATACTATTTTGTCCCTTTAGTGAGCTTATGGATTTTCATCTTACAACCAGTTAGGGGCTGATCTCCAGTCTTTTTTCCACTCTATTTCCATTAGCAGATGTTTCCAGAACCCAATTATTCTAATGACTGGAAATCCTCTCCCGAGTTTCCAAGCTAGTTTATTCATAGAGAGATTATACCACTGGTTCTTTGAGTTGTTTATTCCTTTTGTTTCAGTAGTTCTTGTTCCCTTTTTGATGTTTATCCCCATATATTTTTAGAGAGCTGTCATATCCTCTTTGTTTTATTAGGACAAATTAAATTGTCCTTGAGGAGTGGCATAATTTAAGAAATGGAAGAAAAACTATGAAGATGTTTGAGCATTTGTGGTTGAGGAGTTTGTTTTCTAGGAGGAATTTATTCATGTTTACTTTTCTGATCACTCTCTCTTAGAAATTGGCAAATTATTGCCTTAAACTGTACTTCAGCTATTGACAGTCTTACATACGTGTAAAGATCTAATTCTTCTGACTGATGCAAAGCTTATGGTTTAATTGTTATTTAAAGCAGTGACACAACCTGCATTTTTCTGAAAAGAAGAGGAAGCTTGGGCAAATCACTGCATCCTCCAGCTTGTTATTATTGTCAGGTATCATGGTCCCTTAGTTCTCCTGGAACGTTGTTCTGCCCTTTGCAGTACTCAGCAATACTACTGCTTGACTGGAATACGGAATCACCAGTAGTCACTGCCACTAATTGGCAGATTTTAGAATTTATAGTTTTCTCGGAGGGAACCTGGAATAGGAAATAACTCATGTTGTGCAGTAAAAGCAACTGTTCCATATTTTCCTTCATGTATATTTAACACAATCTGTAATTTACAAAAATAGATTTGAATTAGTCTGCCTGTGGAAGCTCATACCTAAGATAACTTCAGCAAGGCAGGCAGGCAGTCCCTTGTTGCTTGTAACCGATGGCTTAGTTAAGGCTGCAGCTTGGTGGGAGACAGCAGTACTCACTGTATACGTTGCTGAGCCTTACTGTTGAGGAAAATTAAAAATGAACAACCAAGTAGTTGCTCTCACAGTCCTAAAAGTAGTATTCAAAGTAGCAGCAATTACTTATTTTACTATAATGGTGAATCTTGACAGGCCAGTAGTCCTTATCTGTTCAGCTCAGGTAGCCAGGCTGTTTGGGTCCTATGTCCAACAGGCAAACTTGCCTTCATGGTGCCCTGAATTTGTGAAATATGATAGGTCTGTCCTGTACATGTGTGCACAGGTTCAGATTTAACTGTCTTCTCATAGCCTTAAAGTGTGAGAAACTCCTGTTGCTTCTCAGCACAAAATGAAACCCTTATAACAGTGACAACAAACTGAGAATTTAGTTAAAATACATGATGATTAAAATATTTCAACGTTGTTTATTCTGACCCCACTTCTATCACATTAAAGAATAGCTTTTGTGTTTAGACTAACATTCATTTAGAAGAAAATAAAAGTGAAAAACATTTAACTATACTACAAAAAATTAGATTGTTAATTAACTAAGACTTGTAATTTCTCAGCAAAGAAAACTCTGACAAGTAAACCTTCCTTATAGGTCTTTGATTGTAGGTAATAAAAATGTTGCTTAATTAATGTCGATTATATGCATTTGTTGTTTTCTTTCAAGTCACTGGATTTTACAAAATTGTGTGAACTACAGAGCTGAATCAGGTTGTTCTCCTGCCATGTTAATTTAGATCTGTCAACCCTGTTCTGGGGCATAATTTGTAATCCCAAACAGTGCTGAGGTGGGTTGTAATGGGAGTATTTCAAGATTTGATTTAGGAGATTACAGATGATTAGACTTCACAGTCAATTAATTCATTGTTTGAGTCCTGAGTTTTGAGACTGGTTCAGGTCACAAGTGAAGATAAGTTTGGAATTTAATGATTTGTGGAGAGAATCAGATGAAGTTCTTAAAAACACATGCATCATAACAATATTGACAGTTTTTGAAAAATTTTGAATAGTTGAAGTGAAGACTGGATATCTGAACAGGTCCCTTGAATACTGCATGCTCTCAAATTGTCAAGCCAGAGAGCAGTTCTGTCTGCAGTACTTGAAGAACCTGGTATTTGGTTGCTGCAACAAGTGATACAATAGCAAAGGTTTGTGAACCCTAGTGTTGGAAAGTCTTATAAAAAATTCTCTATACAGCATCTTTTAAAAATAGTTTCAGATTTTGCTTATGATAAATGAAATGCATCAACATCAGATAACTATAACTTGGCTTAAGTCAAAATCTGAGTGACTTTTCTTTCCAAAAGCCTGGAAAGTATATATGAGCTTTGACAATGAGTTTGGAAACACTTAGGTTGGAAAAGACCTCAGGAGGTTCAAACTTCTGCTCAGAGCAGGGTCGGTATTGAATTCATTAGCTCCAGTTAAGCTGCACTGCTAGATACCTGCATTGCCGGAGTTTTACATATACAGAACATCTACCTTACGATTTTAGGTCTCCGAATACACCCAGAAACTAAGCCACCACTTAGAGTATGGAATGCTTTGCATGAGAAGGGCTACATTTGGCCCTAGCTGATGCCTACCTTTCTCTCCTAAGATAACACCAAGGACCTCATCAAGTTACACAGTTTGGAAGTAACAAAGACACAAAAACAAGGGCTGCAAGCTGTTTCCCTAAAAGAGGAAGGGAGATATATTGCTTCTAATATACAGAAGTGATCAGAGATCTCAAAAGTTTCACTGTTTGGGCATGCGTGGGGGGGAAACTGCTGATGACGTCTTACTGCAGTTCGGTCAGCACAACTTCTTACCTGTCTCTCATTTGGATCCAAGCCACAGCTATGTGGAGGTGTGGGGAGAACAGGTGGACTGCAGTGTCAGCCTGAGAGGCACGCAGCCGAAGGCTGCCAGCATCACTAACAAATCTGCAACTGCAGAGGTCTTGCTTTCTCATCAGATGTCCTTTCATTGCTGCTGGACAGGTCAGATGCCAGACTGTAATCCTCTTGCACCACATGCGAGAGATGTGGAGAGAGGGAAGTTGTTGCCAGCACTTTTCTCCACGTCCTCTTAAGGGGATAAGAGGAATGGCCTTGGATGCCATCTATATGGCAGGAGGAGGGTCTGTGTGTCAGGATTTGGGTGCAGCAGCAGGACTGTGTACAGAGTTCGGGCCCAAAATGGCAAGGACAGCTGTCAGATGGGACTGAGGGACATCGGCGAGCGATGTTGGGAAGTTTTGGTCAGGTGCTTCTGTCATCTACTCGGGTCTGGTTACTTCTAGTCTTTCTTACTGGACTTGTGAGAGCCATAAAGCGTAGCTGTGGATAGCCTAGCACATCCTATTGTATTTCCTCATCTCTGTCACATGCTAATATTAAAATCACAAACTTCTGAAGTCAGGCAGTGTTCAGAAGTCCCCTGGTGGTTACACATGTCAAAATTGCTGTGATGAGTAAAGGAACTTGAAATAAAGCACACCCTCCCTAGGGTGCTTATCTTCGGGAGGGAGCAAGTTACTGACTTGTCTTATAGATTTTGATTGATATCTGGGTCCTGTGTCTCAGTGTGAGAAGACTTCAGGTGAAATTTTTTCTTAACACACTCAACTTCTGATTCAGCTTTGGAAAGCTGTGGAAACACTTAATACAGCTGTATTTTTTCTAATTGGCTAAGTCGAGACCATGCCTTTACTAACAAGTCTGGTTTGTTTTGGTTTTAAGTGACAGATTTGTTTGCTGGCGCTTGAGGTGAAGTTTACACTTATGTGATGTGGTGTCACCTTGTGACATTGCCCTACCCAAGCACCTTTGGTGCAGAGGCCTCCAAAGCCATTCCCAGCATTAAGCAGTGCTTTGTCTCTGTGTGAAGTGTGTTAGGATACATCTTTAACTGATAGGCTTGTGAAATGGAGTGACTTGCCTATGGCAGCACAGGAAGGCAGAGAGTTAGGAGTAAAACTTGAAAGACTTGGCTCCCATCTTCCTTTCTCATTTTTGCATTGTACTTCCAGCTTTCAGTTTATCAAGAATTAATAAGTAATAACCTATGATTAAAAAGGGCTGACACTTTTTCTGACATGAGATGTTTCTCTGTCTTCAGTGTTGTGCAGACCTCAGCAGAGTTACACCTTTTCAGTTCTACTTAAACGGCGTTACTCAATATTTAATGCTGAAATAGAAACACGTAATTCACAACTGCAGTCAGATATGTTGGGATATTTGTCAGCTGAAAGGCGGGGGTGTAGTAGCAAGACTTCTTTATACCATGAAAATTGAAAATTTTCAACAACTTTTTCATTTAATTTCTTGCTACATCTCACATTGTACACATAGCTGACATGATAATGCTTCAGCTTGCCCTAAATTGCATTTTAAAATAGAGATCAGTTAATTATAGCAATCTGAGTATTTTTAATCGGTTATACAGGGAATTTCTCATGACACTTGGTTCTCTTGAATTTCAGATAAACTAGTGGATGTGTTCTTAATTCCTCATGTGACTACAAAACGTAAATTAAATAAAAATTACTAACAACACCACTCAATACTGCCTTGGGTGAGGTCAGATAGTCACAGCTTAGCATCTATGGCTCTTCTGTTTGGAGAGTGCTAGAGGGAGCTCTAACCCCTTGATCGGAGAAACAGACTGTCAGTGGTGCATCTGAGAGTTTGGTCTGTGGTAGGAAGCGTTGACTTCTCTTGACGTTTAATTTTGTTTTGTTGCAGAAGATTACATATGGTTTTTCCAGGTGTGATCCCAAACTGCTCTTACTAGATGAGAAGATGCAAGTAATGTGTTTGCAAGGATACTATTATTAGATTTAATACAGGCTATTGTGAACTACCTGAAAATACAGAAAACAAGTGAGAAGTATCAGAGAGGTGTTCAACAAATAGCATTCAATGGTAAAGTCGAATAGTCCTTTCCTTTCTCGAAG